AAATTTAAAGAGAAAATTTTGTTTCTTTTTGGGCCACCCTGCATCAGTGGGATACAGCCAGTGCGTTGAGAGAGAGAAAGAAAGAAATCTGTTGACTATACCTGGTAAGGTGTATGGTAGTGTTATTATTGAAAGAATTAAGAGTAAGATGGAGAGTAGGATAGCAGATGAACAAGGAGTCTTCAGGAAGGATAGAGGGTGTGTAGACAAAGTGTTTACAGTGAAACATAGGAGAACAGTATTTAGGAAGGGGTAAAGAGGTTTCTGTGGAATTTATGGATTTGGGAAAGGCATATGACAGGGTGGATAGGGGGGCAATGTGGAGGATCTTGCAAATATATAGAATAGGAGGTAGGTTTCTGAAAGCAGTGAAGAGTTTTTATGAGGATAGTGAGGCTCAGGCTAGAGTATGGAGGAGAAAGGGAGATTATTTCCCAGTAAAAGTAGGCCTTAGACAAGGATGTGTAATGTCACCATGGATGTTCAACATATTTATAAATGGGGTTGTAAGAGAAGTAAATGCTCGGGTGCTGGCAAGAGGTGTGGGGTTAAAAGATAAAGAATATAACACAAAATGGGAGTTGTAACAGTTGCTCTTTGCTGATGACACTGTGCTTCTGGGAGATTCTGAAGAGAAGTTGCAGAGGTCGGTGGAGGAGTTTGGTTGGGTATGTAAAAGAAGAAAGTTAAAAGTGAATATAGGAAAGAGTAAGGTGATGAGGATAACAAAAAAATTAGGTGACAAAAGATTGGATATCAGATTGGAGGGAAAGAGTATGGAGGAGGTGAATGCATTCAGATATTTAGAAGCGGACATGTCAGCAGATGGGTCTATGAAAGATGAGGTGAATCAGAATTGTTGAGGGGAAAAAGGTGAGTGGTGCACTTAGTGGACACCAGCAATCCTACCATCATGTAAAATAATTACATGTTTTCGTTTTACACTCACTTGGCAGGACGGTAGTACCTCCCTGGGTGTACTACCATCCTGCCAAGTGAGTGTAAAATGAAAGCCTGTAATTGTTTTACATGATCGTAGGATTGCTGGTGTCTTTTGTCTGTCTCATAAATATGCAAGATTACAGGTATGTCTTGCTACTTCTACTTACACTTAGGTCACACTACACATACATGTACAAGCATATACGTATATATGCACCCATCTGGGTTTTCTTCTATTTTCTTTCTAGTTCTTGTTCTTGTTTATTTCCTCTTATCTCCATGGGGAAGCGGAACAGAATTCTTCCTCCGTAAGCCATGCGTGTTGTAAGAGGCAACTAAAATGCCGGGAGCAAGGGGGCTAGTAACCCCTTCTCCTGTATAAATTGCTAAATTTAAAAAGAAAAACTTCCGTTTTTCTTTTTAAGCCACCCTGCCTTGGTAGGACACGACCAGTTTGTTGAAAAAAAAAAACATGTACATACATACATACATACATATACACAAAACTGTAATACCACTAGTCAATGAAACAAAAAAGCCCAAATGGTAATAAGATATAGAAGAATAAGGTAATTAGTGAAATTTTGTCCTGTGTACTGAGGTCCTCCTCAGCAAACTCAAAAATATATGCCAGATTAAGCTTGTAAACAAAGGCAGGTCACATGGTCATGTAATCCACCTTTGTAGCCTAGAACAAAATGGCACAATACAGTGACTGGAACAATACATAAATAACCTGCACATGAGAACTGAAACTTATGACAATGTTTTGGTCTGGCTTGGACCATTAACAAGCTGAACTGAAACATCATCACACGTTTGAGTCTCTTATGTGCGGGTTATTTGTGTTTTGTTGTCTAGATCACGTAACCTGCTTTTCTACGTAGCTAGGACTTGTGTGCTTTTTAGGTTTGCCAGTGTAAATACTGTGTCATATTTTCTACTTATAAATTTGTTTTACTATAAAAATAAGTTGCATTTATAAAATGCAGAAATTCATTTACCCATCAATGTTAAAATAGCACTGTGGAGTGGTCATGCAGCCACTGATGATCTCCACACAGACCCCATGCAGTGACACGGAGATACAAATGTGTGGATAAGAGAAAGGACAGGGTGGGTGGCAGTGGGGGAAAATAAAGCTCAAATTGTGTGTATACGTTTACAGGTAAATAAAAAAAAATTATTTACTAAAGCTAAGAATACTGATATGATGGCAATCTTCCTTTACAAATATTTCAGAAACTGTCAATATCAAGAAATGCTTAAAAACATGAGCCATCTATATTTTAGATATATTCAACTTCACTGTCATTATCATAATGGTCACAGTATGTTTTAGGTGTTAGATGAATAAGAGCACAAGGATCTCTCACAGTCTCTTCAAGTGACAACACTGACAGCGGCACTCCATCAACATGTGTTAACATCCTAGTGACACTCTCTGGCTGCTGCTCCCAGTAATTCGGTGGAAATATTTGAGTACAGTCTCTAGCTCAAATTTTTTCATCAAGGCTCCTGCTTTTTATTGCCAATGAAAGCTTATTTGCCTTCAACTGACATCATGATGGAGCATTTTCTGTCAAGGGACACGATGATGGAACATTTGCCTTCAAAGGACACGATGATGGAGCATTTATCTTCGAGGAACACAAAGATGGAGCAATCTTTACTTGCTGACTTTCGAGAGCATGAGAAGATACTGATAATAAGCTGTTTATATTGGAACTTGCATCATGTAATGAGGGGGAACTTTTTGCCTCTTCTATGGGAGATAACATTGGTGCACTGTTTCTTCTATGCTGGTTTAGCATATCAAGAGAAACTCGTAGGCCTAGGAAAAACTACATTTGTTGGCTTCAGAAAATAATCACATCTTGAGTGACTGTCTCCTTACTCCATGATGAACGCTGCTAATTTTGGATACTGGATACGGACTAGATGGAGATGCTATGCATCTTTCTTCATCTAACTCCTGTATTACTGCACTAAGTTTCTCTGCAATTCGCTTGTGAACTTCAGGCTGACCTTTGTGTTTCATCAGACGGTTAAGTGACTCGGAGAAGGTGTTTCTGTCTGGCAATACTTCGTCTTGACAGCTGGAGTTTATAATACCATCTTGAGATGTAACATCTGAATTACTACTAAAAACTGAAGAACCTGAAGAATAATTTAAAGTGTGAGAATTATGCAGGACTTTATCTTCCCGACCAAAGGATTCTAACCGAGATTTTATGAACTTTTCAAACCAAGGCGGCTTTTTGGTAAAAGTTTCAAAGGCAACTGAACTATTTTCAGAATTAATGAGGTCCCCTGAATTACCTTTTTCAATATTTTTGGGTCTTTTTAAAGGAGTGCTATTATTTACCAATAATGGCATATCTTTTATACTATTAGTTAAGGCCCTCTGGTGTAAATATTCCCTATTTCCTTCACCAGTAACTGAGGCTGAGAAAATCATGGGTTGATTAACCTGATATACTCTCTGGATTTCACCTTTTTTTGATGTTTTTGCATTTTTAGTGGCAACTGGAAAATACATTTCCTTATCTTCTGCATATTTCTGTAGGCTTGAGTATTTTGTTTCAGAAATTTCTGTTTGCAAATCCTGACAATGCAACTTTTTCTCCAAACAGCAATGAGATGGTAACGAAATATCATCAGTGGTAAAATTGTGACTCTTCCTCAATTTCATTTTCTTTTTGAAAATTGTACCAAGAGAACTAGAATCTGGTGCAAAAATGGACTGAAAAGGTTTTTTCATCTTGGGACATTTCATCGTTGCAGGAGACACTTCCTTGTTACCACAACACTGAGACTCTGCAAAAGAGCTCTTGGTTAACCCTGGTCTCTCAGCTGCTTTGTCCAACTGATCATCACTCTGACTTTTGGCAAACAATGACCTAGTTAGTGCAGGGGTTAACAGAAGTTCCACCACACTGCTCTCTTTATCACTGCATCTTTGGACATTATTCTTGCTACCATCCTTGCTTAATATATCTTCACTTTTACTTCTAAATATTTTATGAAAGATCCCAGTACTGGCTACTTGTTTGTTTCCTTTCATTAACGCTTGTACCTCTTTATTCTTGTAAGTGCCAGACAAATCTTTGCGATTACAGTTCGAAGTCTTCTGATTTAAAACAGTTTTGTCTTTATTAATAGTATAAGTTGTATTTTTTTTAATGACAAACGAGGTCACTTTTAAACCAGCTGCTGAATTATCTTCAGCACCGCTGAATGCTGTAGCTTTCTGGCAGGTAGCTGGACGACTTGTGGAATTGGTAAATAAAATTCCAGTATGGCTGATATCTCCATGGCACTTAGAAGTGTCTCTCTGAGTAGATGAGATATTGATCTGACTGGTCAAGACTGTTTTTTCGATTACTGAGATTCAAGTGATCTTGAGTGAATGATTCTACACATTCATTGTTGAAGCTTTCTTCATAATGGGGAGAAACCTTTCTAGTATTTTGTGCCTCAGTGTTATTATGCCAACAACAGGCAAAACTTCTGTTCTGAAAGTAGAAATTTGAAATTCACAATCACTATCAATAGGAACATTTGAATTTAAGCCTGAGACTGAAGGACCTACTTGGCTGGGATCTGTCCCAGATGTTGGAAGACTACGTGAAAATGCATCATACTTGCTTAATATATTCAACCTTCTCTTTGTTTTTGTGGGACAAACCGAGAGTGAACAAGCAGCTATCTTATGTTCCCAATCACCAAAATTGCTACTATAAGTGCTATCAAAACTGCTGCTGAACTGCTTTGATTGGAACATAATTTTCTTCTGCTTTTGAAGTTGCTTTACACTGACTCTTAATAGATACAAGAGGAGTCAAATTAATGGAAGTCCATAGCGGTTTTCTTCCCATGACATTATTACTAGAAGTGGAAAGTTTCTTGACAGAAGCTATGAAGGCAGAGCAAGCAGCAGCATGCACAAAAGAGAGGGAGCAAGCCACAGAGGGTGGAGATGTAGTTAGTGTTTTTACAGGTAAAATGTCATAGTGTTGAATCAACAGGATTAAGTGCAGGGTCTAGCGGCATACCTGAGGTGTGGGATTTATGGAGTTTGGATAAGGAGGTGACAGAGGAAGGCTCTGCACTGAGGTCCACAGGTACTGCATGAGTGTCTGAATGAGAACACTCGTGAGATGAGCGAGAATTATTGTTGGTGATGGCACCCCTGAGAGGAGGGCCCGGGGAAGGGGTGGGAGAGAGAGAGTGGTGGGTTGTGGAGCGTGGGCCGTGATGAGGCTTCGTCTTGGGCTCTGCCAGGGCCTTCATCTTGCTTATGGACTGGGGAGATGTAGCTCCTGCAATGTGAGGCGAGTGCTCAGAGAAAGTAAGCTAAATACTGTTCTTTGGCAGCAAGAAAGTGTTAAGCATTATTGAAGTGAACTCCAACAGTTATCAATGAAGCCAAAAAGCTAAGCAAGATGTCATTCAACACCTTGATATCAATAATGCATTAAATGGCAATAAATCAAACATAGAATTTACCAAATTTAGCCGTCTGTTTCTTTCCATCAGATGTCTGAGATGTTGATGATGTTGAAGATGTAGTGGATGGTGTAGGTGAGTTTGGACGCTTCCTAGGTGGTGGATTAGTGGGCGGAGCACTGTTGGACCCACTGCTGCTGTTACTGTTGTGACTCACTGATCCAGCAGCTGCTTTGTGACCCTCCGAGCCAGCTTCACACTCATACGACATGGTGCGAAGTTGATCTTCATCCACAATTATGTTCATGCGAGACAGATACGCCTTCACTCGTCGAACCATCTGAGCCTGAAATAATGTATATATCCTAATGTGTTGAAAAAAGGTCCTAATATATATTTTTCTATAGGTTTATAAGGTAGTTTCCTAACATTCTACATGCTAGTTATCTAAAAACTACAATTTATTCACACAAGCATCCTTCTCGGTCACACAGGCACACACTAGCTCAATCACAAACAAATTATTTTACACACTATTCATTTATTTATTTGAACATGATACAGAGAAGTACAAAGGAATACAGTTATTAAAGTGCAACATGCCAAAGCCCCTTGTATGCAGAGCATTATGGGCAGGCTTAAAATTAACTTAAGATTAACTAAGCAATGATATATTCAGTGGTAAAAACATTATTGTAAACAGATAACAATTTAGCACAAATGAGTATTATAGACAGGTCATATTGTCATTTACTGTGTTGCTGAGATTTCAGTAGAATGGAGTATTCTGTTAGGTAATGTAATTAAAAAATAACAGTTTAATTGGGTCACAGGTTAGACATTTATGAGATACAATAATGAGAAACATTTATGAGATACACTTTATGAGATACAATTATTCAGTATTTATTAAGTTGTGGGTGAGTAAGTGATTTATGAGAAGAGACTTGAATTTATAAACAGACAGTGTTTCTTTTATATTCACAGGTAATGAATTCCAGATTTTAGAGCCTTTTATGTGCATTGAGTTTTTGCAAAGCATGAGATGGACACTAGGAACATCAAAGAGTGATCTGTGCCTTGTGTTATGGTCATGTGTTCTGTTGAGGTTGGTAAGGAGATGTTTGAGGGGAGGGTTTATGTCAGAGTTAAGTGTTCTATGTATGTAGTAGGTGCAGCAATAAGTATGGATGTTTTGTATGGTGAGTAGGTTTAGAGTTTTGAATATTGGTGGAGTGTGCTGCCTGTAGTAGGAATTTGCTATCATTCTGACTTCAGCCTTTTGTTGGGTAATTAGTGGTCTGAGATGGTTTATTGTTGTTGAGCCCCATGCACAAATTCCATAGGTGAGATAGGGGTAAATATTATTATTATTATAATCAAAAAGAAGCGCCAAGCCACAAGGGCTATACAGCGCTGCAGGGTAGGGAAGGAAGCGAGGGTATTGGATGGCAGAAGGGAGGAGGGATGATCAGCAAGTTACTGAAAACAGCGGGGCAGGGGATAGTACGGGGGTAGAGGGTAGCAAGAGATTGAAGTAGAAAGGGCTGAAGGTATCAGAATTTGTGAAGTCAGTTGTTGTCAAAAAGTCAATGAGAGAGTCCGGATGAAAGGTGGGTCCATCAGCGAGAAGGGAAGGTAAAGAGAGAGCAGCGGAGCGAAGACGACGACAGAGGTAAATTCTGCGTGCTCGTTGATAAAGTGGGCAGTAAAACAGAATGTGGCTGACTGATAATGGAGCTTGGCAATTCTCACAGAGAGGAGCAAGACGCCTCTCCATGAGATATCCATGAGTAAGACGAGTATGGCCAATGCGAAGACGGGAGAGAGTAGTCTCCCAGCCTCGACACTGGTGATAAGAAGACGGCCAGTAACCTATACTCGGTTTAATAGATTGAAGTTTGTTGCCGAGCATAGTAGACCAACGTTGTTGCCAACGGGTGTGAAGGTGGGAAGATATTGCAGCAAAATAGTCTGTAAATGGAATACCTCTATAAGAAACTGGTAGGTCATGTACTGCTGACCGCGCAGCAGTGTCTGCCTGTTCATTGCCCTGTACGTCAACATGACCAGGGACCCAACAAAAAACAATATCTTTATGCTTGGTAAAGATGCGGCGTAGCCAAAGTTGGATATGGAGGACTAAGGGGTGAGGTGTATCAAATTTTTGTATAGCCTGTAAAGCACTAAGGGAGTCAGACAACCACAAATGATGACACAGGCATAGATGCAATACGGATAAGTGCTGTAAGGATGGCATATAATTCAGCAGTAAAAATACTAGCCGAAGATAGTAAATGCCTTTGTACGACGCTGTCCGGAAACACTGCTGCGAATCCTACGCCGTCAGAAGACTTAGAGCCATCTGTGTACACAGCAATGGCATGAGAATGAGAGTGAAAGTGGTAAAGAAAAAGAGAGTGGGAAGCGACCGTAGACAGTTGGGCTTTCGAGCAAGGGAAGGAGAAAGAACATACTCGAACAGCTGGAACTTCCCAGGGGGGTAGGGAAAAGTGAGATGCTACATAGGGGTAAATAAGTGAGTGATATAGGGCCAGGAGGGCTGACTGTGGAACATAGTACCGTATCTTCGATAGTATGCCTACGGTCTTGGAAATTTTTTTGGAAATTTATTGTATATGTGTTTGAAATTTGAGTATTATCAAGGGGGATTCCTAAGAATTCTCGCTCTGAGTTTTGTGATAGGTGATCCATTTATCATTATGTTAAGAGGGACATCTGTAGCTCTGTTACCAAACTGAATGAAGAAGGTTTTGTCAATGTTTAGAGTGAGTTTATTAGTCCTCATCCAGATAGATATTTTCTGTAATTCAGTATTTACAGTATTGGCTAGCGTGACTGTGCTCGGGTGAGAGAAGACTTATGTAGTGTCATCTGCAAATAGTGTGGGTTTGAGTAGTTGCAATGCATTTGGTAGGCCATTTATGTATTTGAGAAAGAGAAGAGGGCCTAGGACACTTCCTTGTGGGACACCAACTGTAATTGGCTGTGCGGAAGAGTTTACTCCATTTGTGTACACATATTGGCTTCTGTTGCTGAGGTATGACTTTAGGTAGTTGAGGGAGTGCCCTCTTATTCCATAGTGCGACAATTTTATGTGGAGCAAGTAATGGTCAACTGTATCAAAAGCTTTACGCAAGTCAATGAAGATCCCCAGTGGGACTTCTTTTTTCTCTATTGCAGTGTATATTTGTTCTAGCATGTTTATAATAGCATCATTTGTATTTTTATTAGGCCTGAGCCCAAACTGACAGGGGTTGAGTATGTTGTGGGAGATGAGGTAGGAATAGATTCACTTATGAGTTAATTTTTCGAAGATTTTAGAGAGAGGGTGTAAGTTTGATATTGGCCTATAGTTATTCAAGTCTGTTTGGTCTCCTCCTTTATGGATCAGGGTGACCCTTGCTATTTTGAGAACTGTAGGGAAGGTAGAGGATTCAATGCATTTGTTAGTGTTGCAATGATTGGTGATAGCACTTGTGACGCTTTTTTGTATATAAAGGGTGGCAAGGTATTTAAATCTCCTGTCTTGTTTTTTAGCGTGTTGATAATAAGAGACTTCAGTTGGGTTAGCCGGAGCTAGGGACAGTGTGTTCGGGTAGTTGACAGTGAGGTAGTCATTGGGTGGGGTACCCGAGCTTGGGATTTTATTGGTAAGGTTTTTTTTCCTATAGTGGAGAAGAAATCATTGAGTCTGTTTGCTGTTTCAGTTGGTGGGAGTTGGGGTTCATCTGGTTTTGTTAATTCAATTTCGCTATTTCGTGATATCTTTTTTGTTCCAAGAATTTCTGATAAGGTTTTCCAGGTCTTTTTTATATCACCTCGTAAGTTGGATAATCTGTTCTCATAATACAATTTTTTAGCCCTTCTTATTAGGCTGGTTAGGATTGACGAGTAACGTTTTGTTTGGTCTCTGGTTATGTGACCCATTCTGTACTTTTTTCATATAGGTGCTTTGTATTTATGGATTTGAGGATGCTGGGTGTTAGCCAGGGACTGTTCAGTCTCTTAGCTGTCATCTGTTTAGTTTTTTGAGGTATTGGGTCTTTTTTAGAAAATTATTAATACATTCGTCAATATCTGTATAGATTTCTAGCTCAGTGTGCCAGTCAATGTTTGTCACTGCTGCCTCATTGTGAAGTCTGAAAGTGACTTTAGTAGTGTCTTGGGGTAATTTGCCTAAATTAGTTATGAGGAAGGTAGGGTAGTGGTCTGTGGTATTATCTGTGATTATGCCTGATTTTAAAGGGGATATGGTGTCGGTGCAGATGTGGTCAAGTAGGGAAACACTAGTCTCTAACTCTCGTAGGGTTTTGTTACTGTTGGTAGCAACATGCAGTTACTCAAAGTGTTTGTGAATTCAGTAACGTGTGGGTCCTGGTCTTGCAGGAGATTTATATTGAAGTCACCTGAGAGTAGTAAGTGATCTTTGTTCATGTGTGCATCAGTTATCATACTTCCTAGGTTTTCACTAAAACAGCTAATGTTTGACTGTGGTACTCTGTAGATGTTTATCATTGAGAGGTTTTTGTAGGTATTTGGATTTGAATTTAGTTATTATATATTCCCCATGTTCGTCCCTTGTGCAAGTATTAGTGATACATTCTAGTTGGTCTGAGTAGTATATAGCTGTGCCACCCCCTTGTTGATCTGGCCTACAGTCGTGTATGGCTGTGTAACCAGGAATGGCATAGACATCTGTAGTATCAGGCTTTAGCCAGGTTTCAGTGAGAGTAATGATGGATATACTGGCATGCAGGGAATTTAGTAATGCTATGAGGTCATCGTAATGTTTGCTTAAAGATCTGATATTGTAGTTAAAGACAGTTATGTTGTTGTTGGCTCTGAGAAGTGCCTTTGATTGTTCTGCTGTGTAGTAATTACAGTTACTGTTTGATTCATTTAACCCTTTGAGGGTCGACAGGCCCTCTCCGAGACTTGTTCTCAGGGTTGGCCAAATTTAAAAAAAAAATTTTTTCTTTTTATGAAAAGATAGAGAATCTTTTCCCGATCATAATGACACTGAAAGTAAGAAATTTGATGGAAAACTTACGAAATTATGCTCTAGCGAAGTTAGCAGTCTCGACGATGTTTACGCATCAGCGATTTTGCCCACTTTGAGCCCTATTTTCGGCCAATTTTCAGTTACAGTCGAAAAAAAATCATAACTTTCTCTAAAAACCCCACTTTTTTTTATTAAAGAGAAAGAAACCACCTTTTTACTGATTTAACTATCCAATACAGGGGCAGAATTTAGAATTTTGCCAATTTCACCAAATTTCAAAGATGTAAAACCCCAATAGGGTCCAGAATAAACAAGAAAGA